ACAACAGACAACTGAGAAAACAACTCTGAGGTGAAATCTCGTGGAACCATTCCCAGCCTTCACAGATGTCTTGCTAAACGCTGTGTATGTGCTCAAGAAGTGCGTCACCTTTCTGTCCTGAACTCGGTTGGTTCACTTGGTTCAGACACTTAAGTATAACGGCGTAAATAACTTGTTTTAAAGGTGCGTCACATAGCGAAATTGAAATTCGCAGAGCAACAGTACGTGACCTCACCTTAATAAAAGAATGACGTTAAAGGGTCAATGTTTGGAAATAAGGTTCACTCATAAATCACTTGGTTTGCTGGTAAGCTGAAGTTTTAGGGCTTGAATTCGAAAATAAAGTTAAGGTAGTATAGGCTACCTTAAGCATTCTACGGTCATAGTGAAGAAAAGGTTGAATAAAAAAAGTTGCCATTTTTGCCAATTTTGTATTATTATTTCTATAAAAAATATGCCAATAGATATGTATGCCTATATTGTTTATTAGCACAAAGCTTTGTCATGTGACAAGAAAATCATGTAACAGGAAATTACATTATAGATAGGACAGTCATGATAGCTGTCTGATAGCCCCTCATCCTCCAGTGTGTCATTAAAGCAGTTAGTTAAAGGAGTAGTTCACTTTTGAAAAAACTTTTGCTGATAATTTACTCACCCCCATGTCATCCAAGATGTCCTTGTCTTTCTTTCTTCAGTCGAAAAGAAATTAAGGTTTTTGATGAAAACATTCCAGGATTTTCTCCATATAATGGACTTCATTGGGAACCAAACGGTTCAAGGTCCAAAAGACAGTTTCAGTGCAAACTGTTCAAAGGGCTTTAAACGACACCAGACGATGAATAAGGGTCTTATCAAGTGAAACGATCGAGCATTTGAGCAAGGCGAGCATTTGAGCTTATAAAACTTAAACTTTGTTGTTTATTTATTTTTTTTAAACTTTGTGATTTATTTTTGAAATGAGCGATCGTTTCGCTTGATAAGACCCTTTTTCATCGTCTGGTGTCTTTCTTCATGCCAAGTGTCCAACATTACACACTTTGTTTTTTCCAGTAAATAAGTGCGTCATCCGGGAATTCTTAAGGCCACTTTCTCGTATTGGAATTTTCATGTGAAAACAGTAATCACATATTATAGTAGTGCACAAATACACAAATCGAAACACACCTAGGTTCAGTTATTAAGGCACGTTCACATAGCAACAGAATAGCCTATGGTTGTCAGTGTTGTTGATCTGTTTTTTGTTATAAGCAATATGAGCTGCTGTGTGTTCAGAAGTTTGTAGAATTACCCAACCAATTAAATAACTATAGATGGAAAAAAATAATTGGTAGGCCTTTTAAAACGTGAAAAACAACTATTCCAAATGTATACACCGTCAAAAATATTGTTGCAAATATCACAATTTACAACTTAAAATAACTTTCCCTGATTTACCTTGGCTAACTCAAATATTCAAGTTGTTACTCACTTAACATTTTAAATCGACTAAACGTAACAATTTAAGGCAGCATTATGGGATCAACATCCCAAATGTATTGCTTTTTTTTTTTTTTTTTTTTTTTATTGCAACATAGAATATACAAAGAGATTTACATGACAATACAGCTCACAACAAATAGAAAAAAAAGGAGGAAAAAAAAAAGAAAAAAAGAAAAAAAATCATGCCAGGGGTAAAGTTACAATAATTTAAAGTTACAAAATACTTCATAGGTCTTTCTTGCTTTTTTGTTCTTAATTTTATCTAATGAATTACCATATAGTTTAATCTCTTTCATAAAGTGTTCAAAGCTTGGCTTATCCCAAATGTATTGCGGCCGCGGACCACTCATTGGGGTGACGTCAACTCCTCTCTTCGATTGATTGGCTAGAGAAGAAGCTGTCAATCTTGAATTATGGAAACAACGGTGACACTTAAGCCCGCCCTAATTTACATGAAACTCGAACTGCGACATTTGGAAGAGCGAAAAACATGAACATAAATTTAAGTTTGTGCAAAAAAATTGTATGCGTTTAAAGTTTTTATTCATGCTTGTTATTTTTTTTTGATTTACGCTTCTTATATTTTGATCCGTGACCACGTTCTTTGCTTTTCTGGTAATTTTGCATTCTTTTTTTTCAGTTTGTGCAATATATTATTACATTTTTGAATCCCGCTTATTATTTTTTGATCCGTGGCTGCAATACATTTGGCGGGATTTTGATCCCATACAGCATAAAGACTTTTTAAATAATTATTATTTCTTCAGAACAAAATGAATAACATAACTTGCAACGTAACAAAATAAAATGATATCAAATGAATGTGTAATCAAGAAAAAACAAATATTAGACAAAATTACTAATCTACATGTGAATGATGTTAGAGAGGTACCGCTTCTTATTCCTACAATATATAACAATACTGATGAAATAATTCATAAAATGAATATAGCGCACCTTTAAACTAGAGAAAAGGTACTTTAATGGCAGCAACACAATGAACACAAACGCTTTGTGTATAGACCATTTCAGAAGATGTAAACAACACTGGTCCAGAAGCACTTCCTGTTTCAGTTTTTTAACACTACATAAAAGCTGGGATAAAATACAACCAACAGAACATTTAAAACTGAATCAAAAAGTTAAACAAACATCTTTAAGATGTTTCCTTTACATGTAAAATAAAGAAAACAGTTACAAACTGAAACAGGAAGTGCTTCTGGACCAGTGTTGTTTACATCTTGTGAAATGGTCTATAGACTAAATCTGCGTTCAATTCTTATTTAGGTTTTATTCATTTATTGAAGAGAAAATAAATTGAATTATGACTCTAAATGCAGTAGTGAGCCAATTTTCCATTCTCACAATGCGTAATGGCTTCAGTGCCATCTAGTGGAGACCATGCCATTAAAATACTTGAACGTGCAGCATTTAAAAACTGCATTACAGTTAATAAATCTTGCAATTCCACTTAAAATAAAAAACACACAGCGCTGAAAATAAAAATATCACCTGATAAATGATATGCTGAAATATGAAGCATTTAGGTCGCAACCACAAAGCAATGCCACTGACTCGGTCCTGCCACCTATAATAAAGTGTGCATGTGTGTTGCTTGCAGCATGTCTTGATATCTGTCAGCTCTTTGTTGTGGCTTGTGCACAGCAGCGGCAGCGGAAACCGTCTTAAGTAAGAACATGTGCTGCACTTCATCATGTCAGCAGCAACGCACCCCTGAACTCGTCTCCAGTAAGGGTGTGCAAGAGCGCTTCGGTATCACACCAGGCAAGGCAATGAATCTCAAAGACAGCAAGTCAATTGTACGTAAAAATTTATTCAGCATAATTTAAAATAATTTCACGGTTAGTTCATTTACACAAATTTATTTTGGTTACAAAAAGGCAATTTTGACAAAATTGAGTTCCCAGTGTATAAAATGTAGTACCACATACCAGAGACACACAGCATGCTAGGCTGAAGTGGTGAAACACAAACCAGTTCAGTCACATTCACCACTGCGTTACGGTTTGCTTACATCGAGTTCGGCAACACTCACGTTAAATCAACACGAGGAATGATTAGTTGAGACGCTCTCCTGGATTTAACGAGAGACTCGTGTCAGGTCCAGTTATTACACTTAAAATCTTTGTATCCAAGGCACTCTTTGGCCATGCTGGGCAGACAAGTGAGAAAAAGCAAAAAGTTCAAAATGTAAAAAAAAATGCTCAGATATTTAAAAATCAGTTATAAAACATCGGTCGTCTAACTTTTTAAAGCGAGTCACAGGTTTCCACAAAGTCGGTCATTCAATTTTGTCAGTTTTGTAAAATGTTTAACCACGGCTTCCAGTTATTAAAGCACGTTACACACATCATAACTGCAGTTCACGACTGCCTGCCACCATTAATTGACCAGTGCTGAGATGAACAGTCACTTTTATGACAATAACACTGAAAACAGTCTGCGTGTGAGATGAGGATATTGAAATGCGGTGGCCAGAACACGAGTCGACAGACCTCTTATTGAACATGCAACCTCACATAAAAATAACTCCTTGGCTGATAATAACAATACAAACACACATTCATAAGCATGCGTGGAAGTCGTACACAGGTCTGAGTGCTGCTTTTGTTTGCACTGTGGACCCGGCGGATCACGCATGCCTGCTGCTCAGTCTTTGGGCTTGAAAGATAATCAGTGTTTTTGTCACACAGCGCAGCGAGGGCGAGCCGTTCGCTGGCTCTGAGGAATGAGGCGTCGACGACTCCTGTGAAGCGTCAGATAGCGAGACTAGGATTCAGGCGAGTCGAACTCGAGGCTTCGTGGTGAATTACAGTACGGCGTGCGGAGAAGAGAATATGGGCTGCTGTCCTGACACCAGTACTAATATAATACTTGTTTAACCGCAGGAAGAAGCCCTTTACAGAAGCACATGAGGCGCAATTCTCAGGATCATGGGTTAAAGGAATAGTTCACTTTTAACAAAAAAAAAAAAAAAAAACTTTTGCTGATAATTTACTCACCCCCATGTCATCCAAGATGTCCATGTCTTTCTTTCTTCAGTCGAAAAGAAATTAAGGTTTTTGATAAACATTCCAGCATTTTTCTCCATATAATGGACTTCAATGGGAACCAAACGGTTCAAGGTCAAAAAGACACTTTAAACGACAGACAATGAATAAGGGTCTTATCAAGCGAAACGATCAGCCATTATCAAGCGAAACGATCACTTATTTAAAAAAAAAAAAAAAAGGTTTGTGTTTTAGTGATCGTTTCGCTTGATAAGACCCTTATTCATCGTCTGGTGTCGTTTAAAGCCCTTTGAACAGTTTGCAGTTTGCACTGAAAGTGTCTTTTGGATCTTGAACCGTTTTGGTTCCCATTGAAGTCCATTATATAGAGAAAAATCCTGGAATGTTTTCATCAAAAACCTTAATTTCTTTTCGACTGAAGAAAGAAAGACGTGGACATCTTGGATGACACGGGGGTGGGTAAATTATCAGCAAAAGTTTTTTAAAAAAAAGTGAACTACTCCTTTAATCTCAAAAACACCATTAAGGGTCATATCTAATCCCAAAATAACAAGTAAAAATATTTTTGGACCACTAAAAAGTTTTGCATTTCTTAAATATCACTGGAAATGTACAGCATTACAGTATTTGTTGTACCATCTTTAAAAAAAAAAATCTGTTTAAATGTCTGGACAGGAAGAGTTTCATTCTTGTATATCTAATAAAAATCTGAACGCTATAAAAAATTTTGTTTTGTTTCATTATGGAAAGTATAGTCATTTTTTCTTGATTGTGGAATAAAATATAGGCTATCCTGCAGTTTTCTACATGAAAATCATCATCGCATCCAATACAATCCTCTCTTCTTTTTTTTCAACCTGTCCAAATATTGCTTTTGTGATGACTGAACAGGTACAGGTAATAATAATAATTACTAAGGCACATCAAATATTTGGCTGGGAAACCTCTCGGAAAGGGACTCTGATGTGTCGAACTCATTCAGTCTTCATCATATTGCACATTTATCGGAAGGCACAGGACAAGAGAGTAATAAAGCCACAATCCAGCTCTACACACTCCTGAAGGACACATGCTGATGTGTCTTTCATTGAGTGGAACTGGCAATAATGGTTATTAATCATCAGAACGATAGGCAAGCGACTGCATTTTTACGAGGAATGTGGAGTGAACACGTCAAAATCAGTGAGCCGGAGGAAGTCCTTTAAGAGCTAGAAGAGAGGGCAAGATGACAAGGATACAAACACCAGGATCACAGCGTGTTTATGAGTTCACGTCCGACTATAAGAGCACGCACCTCTTGTTATTCTTTTTGGTGGCGGGGTAGAGCACGGCGCGGACGGCCTCGACGAACACCTCCCGCACGCCCTCCTGCAGGAGCGCAGAGCACTCCATGTACTTCACGGCCCCGATCTGCTTGGCCAGAGCGCCGCCCTGCTGGTTGGTGGTGGGAGCGAGCCCTTGCTCCTTCAGCTTCTTCACCGTTTCCGTATCTGAGCGCAGATCCCTCTTGGTGCCCACCAGAAGGATGGGCACGCTGGGACAGTGGTGAGACACCTCCGGGTGCCACTTGTGGCGAACGTTGGCGAACGACGAAGGGCTTCCGATGGAGAAGCAAATGATGAAGACGTTGGTTTGCGGGTACGAGAGCGTGCGCAGACGGTCGTACTCCTCCTGCCCCGCCGTGTCCCAGAGGTTGAGGCTGACCGTGCGCCCATCCACGCTCATCTGAGCGCTGTAGTTGTCGAACACAGTGGGGATGTACTCCTCGGGAAAGGCGTTTGTCGTGTACGAGATGAGGAGGCACGTCTTGCCCACCGCACCGTCTCCCACCACAACACACTTAATGGTCTGCATTCTGCGTCCACACGGGCAGCGGCACCTGCAAGCAAGTCAAGGAGGCGTTAAAGGGGTCATGGGGCGCAGAATTGCCGAAAGTCTTTGCAGTGTGTGGACACAACCACCACACAATGAAGAAAATCCATTCGCTCTTTTTTTAATAATCAAAAAAAGTCTAAACACTCTCAATAATAAGCTGTTTCTGGGAAATATGATGTCATATTGCTCATGCTCCGCACACGACAGCTGATGGACTGTCCCTTAATAGGATATTTCCAGTATTATTTCCCCCTCATTATCATTTAAAAAGACTTGCATCGAAACGGGTTGCTGTTTTTGAGGTAAAAAGGGTGTTTTACACAACCATTCAGGAATTTTAACCAAAGGCTGTTACAAACTTTACATGATGACCCTAAAATTAGATGATAACTGTAATTCAGTTTTAACTTTTGTGCATGTAGGCCTACTCATGCTTTATCATAAAGAACTGATCGAGGAATTGAGATAAATATTGAGAAAATCAAATCGACCTTGTGTTTCAAATCACAGTCAAAACATCCTGAAGATAGTTTACAGGATCTCCACTGCTAGCATAATTTGAAACGGATGCTAAGCATCTTGACTGAATCAAAACAATACATTATGCAATATAAATCCTGTCACATTTCATTCAGTTCAGGATTTTTTGGGGGGAAAGCCCGGGAATCAGAAACCAGATGACTAAATTGCTCCTTGAAAAAAGCAAACTTAACTGACTCAACTCTTAGGTTAGTAAAGTGGCATCAGGGCTCTAAACCTGACAGACTGTTATTGCGGAAGCGGCTAATGCTAACCGTTAGATTAGCTATCGCAAAAGTTTACAAGTCACTTAAAAAGCCTCATATTCATATTTAAGTTTTTTAACTAACACACCAGCACCTATTGTTAACGATGTGTTAATGCTAGAGAAGTGAACCCTTCCTTCATTTTGAAAACAGTTTCTACAGACTGTGACATTGCTTAGCTGCTATATTAGCAGTGACTGTCTCAACACACATCCACACTTCACACGACGATTAAATACAACTATTCCGCTATAATATCATTTATAATAATGTTTAGTTTACTGTACATTGTAATAACTGTTCTTATCATTATTTCGGGTATCTTCATTTTTTTTTTTTTATTTTAATTTTACTGCTGTGCGTTAACTTAGTGTAATGATGCTTTGGCAATAAACGGCCCGAACACATTTTTCAATATACAATTATAATAATAATATTAATAATAAATAAGAAAGTTGTTGCAGTTTTGACGCGCATGAACGCAGTTCAATCACTTCACTATTTTCACAGATTTGACATGGGAGTTCCTGCGCGCGCCCAATGACAACATGTATTTCCTGTATTTTTCTCACATCAGTAACATTTGTTTTACGCAGCAACTAAACACCAGAACCAACACGATTCTTCATTCAAGCACTAACACGATAATACAACTTATTAAATGACTTTCAAGAAGTTCTCACCGCCTCAGAGATCCTCGCGCGCGCCTGTCCGACTGGCGTTCAAACTCGCGTTCGCGTGAAGTTCACGCCGTGAACTCGCGCACTGTGATCTTACGGAAGCTGCAGAAAAACACAGTGTCAAAATAAAAGCCAAGAACTCGTTTAATTCTCTTGAACCCTTGTTATGAAAAGTACCTCAGATTTAATTTGTGTACTTGAAGCTTAATGGGTTAAATATTTGTCAATATTAGTATTAACGTTACGAATTTAAATCACCCTTCAAACATTTTTTCAGGACAAGGTCCTCTAGCATAATATTTATGTATTAATAGTAGCCTACATTTATTGTATGTAAAGTAAGAAATATCACCAAGAGTTCCAGTGTTCGAAATATCAGCACTAGTCAGTTCGACACATCGAAGCAGCAGAGAATCTAGATAAAGTAATTCATGGGAGCGAATTATAATTCTTAAAGCAGTAGTTCACTTTAAAAAAAAAAAAAACTTTTGCTGATAATTTACTCAACCCCATGTCATCCAAGATGTCCACGTCTTTCTTTCTTCAGTCGAAAAGAAATTAAGGTTTTTGATAAAAACATTCCAGGATTTTTCTCCATATAATGGACTTCACTGGGAACCAAACAGTTCAAGGTCCAAATGACAGTTTCAGTGCAGCTTCAAAGGGCTTTAAACGATTCCAGACGATGAATAAGGGTCTTATCAAGCGAAACGATCGCTCATTTAATAAATAACAAAGTTTTATACTGAACGAGTTGACTCTGGAAAAGATTTGTTCATTTTGATGAACGAGTTTGAACAGGAGAGTCACGAACGCGCATCACAGAACAGAGCAAGGCGACCATTTGAGCTTATAAAACTTAAACTTTGATATTTATTTATTACATGACTGATCGTTTCGCTTGATAAGACCCTTATTCATCGTCTGGTGTCGTTTAAAGCCTTTTGAAGCTCCACTGAAACTCTCATTTGGACCTTGATCTATTTGGTTCCCATTGAAGTCCATTATATGGAGAAAAATCCTGGCATGTTTTCATCAAAAACCTTAATTTATTTTCGACTGAAGAAAGAAAGACATGGACATCTTGGATGACATGGGGGTGAGAAAATTATCAACAAAAGTTTCTTTTAAAAAAAGTGAACTATTTAAACGATCTGCACAATGAAAACAAAAGTTCCATAAGTACTTAAAACATGGTATAGTATACTGATTTTATCATTATAAAAGTAATATTTTTTTGTCATTCTTTTTCATTTTTGTTAAAAATTATTATAGTACATGCAAAAATGCTTTATTTTAATTAGGACAAGTTTTGTATTTATTTTTTAAAACTGACTGATTGGTAGCCTAAGGAATTTGTGGATCACTTTGTCAATTTTCAATTAAATATATTTTATTGAACCCCCTATAAACCGTTGTAAAATTTCAGTATCGAATGGGTTCCAAAGCACTTTTGACAACAATCAGAAGTAAACACAGCAGGCTGTGTTTCGACCCCTGGCTTATACGTACCACTCCAAAAACAACCAGTCAGCAAATAAATCAATTAATGTGAACAAGGCAAGCTTTCCAGTTGACATTCCCTGAAAACATTTGAAGTTAACAACTGAAAAACACACACATGCGAATTCAAACACAAATTTTTATTATAAAAGACTGCATTGGAATATTATATTTTTTTTAAGCCATTAAATCATCATTTTAAACATTTAACATTTTCAACAAACATCAGCCTTTGTACAGAGCTTCTATGGTTACAGATTCTTCTTCTTTAATGAACCAGAAAGTCGTGTGTCGAACAGCACAGAGCAGATGGGCTTTTGTGTGTTACATCGTGCTGTTATGAGACCAATGAACCGAAAAGGCCCTCCGTTCAGAGCTTGGCTTCTTTCAAGTAAATCACAATCGTCCATAACAGCAACACATAACACTGGTTTAAATAAAAAAATAACCCAGCTCAAATCACGAGTAAAGGTGGGTTAGACATTAACTTCACCTCCACTAGCGTTTCCTGTGGACTCGACAAATCAGCACATATCTGTCCATCAATCCCTCATTAACAGCATCCGTTACGGAAGGACAGTCATATTGTCGTAGATGTGCGCTCTATATAAACCTGCTGGTGTGATCAGCAAATTTAACAGGAAGAAATATGACAGTTAGATTAAACAATCAGCTATTCGATTGAGTTTCACACTCTCCAAATTAACCAGCTCAACTTCAGAGCTGAACTGATGGACAGAACTGATATTCTTGTATTTAAATAGAAAACATTGATCTCTTGAAGTCCTGATTTTATAAATACCCATTGCTGACATAGACATCCTACAGCCGTTCAGACACACATTCAGCCTCATTCATCCACAACACACGCCAATGTTTTTGAAACATTATTCTAAACACAAAGATATAGCGTTAAAGACGTCACAACACAAAACACAGCGGCCGGTGGCTGGAATGCACGTCTGAAAGGCTGAAGGCTCGCGTCTACGATGAGCATGTGTATCTATCATCAGGCTGAATCCAACATTGCTTCAAGATCGATGCAGATTATTTTCAGCAGACACGAATGAATCGGAGCTTCTAGACATTAAGGGAGGTGGATGAGGAGGAGACATGGTAATATTGTTTTGTAGAGTTTACTGTCAAAAACACAGTATGTGTGAGAAGATCTTGCGTACGCTGCTCAGAGAAACGTTCAGTCCCACAGTAACTCCAGGCTCACAGGATTTACTGCTGGCCCTCCTTCTTCTCTCCGCTGTCTCCTCCTGAGCTCGAGCCGCTGCTGCCTTCCCTCTCTGACGCCATCTGACCAACACACACACACACACATTCAGGAGATAAGCGGATACTTCACAGACAGGCCCAAAAAAAAAAAAAAAAACACCTCCGGTGTAAAAGATGATGCCAGAAACTGTTTTTACCAGCTTAAATCACTATTAATAGTCTATACACTTTAGGGAGTTTTAATTATAAAAGGTAATAGAACCATAAAATGACTTTTGTTTTGATTGTTTGCAAGTGCAGTAACTAATAATGTTTATTTTTTGGAAATGTACATTTGACAGTAAAGCACTGAGTTTGAGTTGAACTGCAGACAAAATTAACTTAAAGGAGTAGTTCACTTTTCAAAAAACTTTTGCTGATAATTTGCTCACCCCCATGTCATCCAATATGTCCATGTCTTTCTTTAGTCAAAAAGAAATGAAGGTTTTTGATTAAAACATTCCAGGATTTGCTCCATATGAATGGACTTCAATGGGAACCAAACGGTTCAAGGTTCAAATGAGAGTTTCACTGCAAACTGTTCAAAGGGCTTTAAACGACACCAGACGATGAATAAGTCATGACTCGAAAGAAAAGATTCATTCATTTTGATGAACAAGTTCGAACAGGAGAGTCACGAACGCGCATCACAGAACAGAGCAAGGTGAGCATTTGAGCTTATAAAACTTAAACTTTGTTATTTATTTATTAAATGAGCGATCGTTTCGCTTGATAAGACCCTTATTCATCGTCTGGAATCGTTTAAAGCCCTTTGAACAGTTTGCGGTTTGCACTGAAACTGTCTTTTGGACCTTGAACCGTTTGGTTCCTATTGAAGTCCATTATATAGAGAAAAATACTGGAATGTTTATCAAAAACCTTAATTTCTTTTTGACTGAAGAAAGAAAGACATGGACATCTTGGATGACATGGGGGTGAGTAAATTATCAGCAAAAGATTTTTGAAAAGTGAACTGTTGAAGTGTTTTTAAGGCTTTGCTTTTTTTTTTTCCATATGTGCTGTTTCTTAATTTGTTTTATGAGTTATGTATTGTGTGTTCTGTTTTTGTATGTTCTTCTGTACAGCACTTCGGTCGTATTAAAGTGCTTAATAAATAAAGTTTGATTTGAACACTGATGTCAGCAACAGACTAACACATGCAGAGGGTATAGGGGACAGATGCATAGGGGAACTCTGTCATCTCACATTAGAGATTCATTATGAGATTATCCAACTGTGGGGGGATAATGGTACGATTCCTTTTTTTGTTATTTTTTGAAACCTAATATTTATCGTCCACACCAACGCACAATGACATCGTTTATAATAACAGCGTGCTACAGATTTGTATTCTGCTGGTTTAAACGCTCGAGTTCTTCAAAGCAGGACGGATTCTGATTGGCTGTCAATATATTTATTGTTCAAAAGCTTAAAAAACATAGAAAAACCATAGTTTCTCTGTGCCGTTATAGTCGCTTATGGTGTGGACTCTTTTACATTCAGAAGGATTTTTAAAACTATATCTTTATTGTTAGTTATAATCGTCCTCAGAGTGAACGGGCCTCAACGCTCTCAAAATAGTCCACTGATTGACAAAATCAGTCAAAACGAGTTTATCAGAAAATATAATGTGTAAAGAGTAACATAATTGATTGTACCTTCTTATATGCCATCTCAAAGAGTTTGAGTGACGCTTGCTGCAGGTTTGAGGCGGCTTGCTTGATGTTCTCTCCCGTCTCCGCGTCCTTCCGCGACAGGAGCTCCTGTACTTTAACAATCTCCTCCTTCAGTTTGGCACACTACAGAAACGGATCACAAACGTTTATTCAAGGCCTCTGAACATTACTGGAGTTTCAGCACTTCAGACTGAAGAAGAGTCGGACCTCATCGGCTGGCAGCTGATCCTTAAACTCCTCCATCTTTGACTCGGTGTCGTGAACGATACCCTCGGCCATGTTCACCGCTTCCACACGATCCTTTGAATTGAAATATAAAAAAAAAAGGTTGAAACAGCTTTCAAGGTGCCACAAACAAGACCACCCTCAAAAGTAGTGATGCACGATGTGAAAATTTGTGGCCGATACCGATATTAATATTTCTGTTATGACCGATACCGATATTAATATTGCATTGCTGTTATGGCCGATACCGACATGAATATTGCTGTTATGGTCGATACCGATATTAATATTGATGTTATGGCCGATACCGATATGAATATTGCTGTTATGGCCGATACCGATATGAATATTGCTGTTATGGCCGATACCGATATTAATATTGCTGTTATGGCCGATAACGATATTAATGTTGCTGTTATGGCCGATACCGATATGAATATTGCTGTTATGGCCGATACCGATATGAATATTGCTATTATGGCCGATACCGATATGAATATTGCCGATACCGATATGAATATTGCTGTTATGGCCGATACCGATATGAATATTGCCGATACCGATATGAATATTGCTGTTATGGCCGATACCGATATGAATATTGCTGTTATGGCCGATACCTATATGAATATTGCATTGCTGTTATGACCGATACCGATATTAATGTTGCTGTTATGGCCGATACCGATATTAATGTTGTTGTTCTGGCCGATACCGATATGAATACTGCTGTTATGACCAATACTGATATTAATATTGCTGTTATGGCCGATACCGATATGAATATTGCTGTTATGGCCGATACCGATATGAATATTGCTGTTATTGCCGATACCGATATTAATGTTGCTGTTATGGCCGATACCGATATTAATGTTGCTGTTATGGCCGATACCGATATGAATATTGCATTGCTGTTATGGCCGATACCGATATTAATATTGCTGTTATGGACGATACCGATATTAATATTACATTGCTGTTATGGCCGATACCGATATTAATATTGCATTGCTGTTATGGCTGATACCGATATGAATATTTGAATATTGCTGTTATGGCCGATACCGATATGAATATTTGAATATTGCTGTTATGGCCGATACTGATATTAATATTGCATTGCTGTTATGGCCGATACCGATATTAATATTGCATTGCTGTTATGGCCGATACCGACATGAATATTGCATTGCTGTTATGGCTGATACCGATATGAATATTTGAATATTGCTGTTATGGCCGATACCGATATTAATATTGCATTGCTGTTATGGCCGATACCGATTTTAATATTGCATTGCTGTTATGGCCGATACCGATATTAATATTGCATTGCTGTTAGGGCCGATACCGATATTAATATTTCTGTTATGGGCGATACCGATATTAACATTGCATTGCTGTTATGGCCGATACCGATATCAATATTGCTGTTATGGCCGATACCGATATGAATATTACTGTTATGGCCGATACCGGTTTTACCGATGTTTATATCTCTGTATAGAAAACACATAGTGAGGATTAGGGACGACAATATTGGAAGAAAAAAAAAATGGCATTGAGATATTTTATTTTTCTGCAATATAAAAACAATTTCACTAGATGTCATTCAGATAAATCGGAAATACTTTACAATAAGGTTCCATTTATTAAAGTCTAGTTAACTACAAATAAACAGAGCGCTATTTGGAAAGAATGAATCATTCTAGAATGACTGGTTTTGTCATGGAGTAAATCCGCATAGAAACTAATATTAATATAATGTTAATGTAGTTAACTAGACTTTAATGAATGGAACCTTATTGTGAAGCGTTTCCGATTCATGTCTCTTGAGTACAGTGTTGGACAGATCGGTAGTTTTAACCATTCATTAAAGTGAATCGGTTCAAAGGAGTCATTAGTTTGTGAATCGCACGCGTCATTAACGGACCACATTGTGTGATTATCCAGGCAGTTTAGGACATGGCACGAGATATGTCTCAACAAACAACATTTCATCACTAGTAGGGATGCAAACGGTTAATCGATTAATTGTCGACAAGAATTTACTCGATTACATTAAATAATTTTCGGCTAATTGAACATTGCGAACGTGACACAATGTTCTCACGTGAGAGAGCCAACACAAACTTGAGGCGGCAAAAAAGAAACCAAACATGACGCGGTCAAAACGGAGTGGAGTGCATCGATATTGACTACCAGCTATACAGCGTGCTAATGCTAACCTCGAAAATCCAGCTGTATTCTAACAATAACGTCGCTCATACCCGTAAACACTCCCATTTTCCCGGGTTTCTTCCTTTTTTTTTAGCCCTATCTCCCAGACCCCTCCAGGCTTGTTATTTTTCCCGGGAAACTAGTCTAAGTGTCCGTTACACTTTCATACATGGTGTGTTCACTTCGTATAGACAGCAAAAGTGGTGTTAGAGGCACACGGCACATACAATACAATCATCCCGATAGTTCAACAGGGAGCACGCATTTAATGTTTTTTTATACAAGTAGTTTACCAGATAGATTATTATATGTAGGCTTAATATAGTGTAGGTAGGTATAGATTTGCATTTAAAATGTATTTTATGTTGCTTAATGTTTTACATGCAACAGGTGAACTAGAGCACAATTTTTTTTTATGCATTTTAATTTTGGTGCATAATTTATTTTGTTAAACTACATAAATGCCATTATTCTGTGACGTATCCCAACTGTTACAATAAAACATCAATTGAGCAATATAACATGAATTTTTATTCAGTATATAAGCAATATTTAGCTTTTTATGTTAAATTGATACCGTGAGAAATTTACGTTCTCCGGAAAAAAGGCTCTTATCAGTTAATCGTTAATCCATAAGTTTGATCAACTAATGATTAATAAATTAATCGATAATTTACATCCCTAGTCACTACATAGATTTTTGTTTTGTTTATTGAAAGTGGTTTGTCATCTGAATGTGTGGAAAGCTTTTCAGAGAACATAAGGCAACGTTAGCACAATTCACAACCAGCGGTAGTTCAGGAAAAAAAAAAATCTTTCGAAGTTGACATTGGAACGATACAGATGTGCAAAAAAATTGATCATATCGGCCGATATATAGTGCACCACTACTCAAAACGGTTTCAAATCGTGAAAAACATGTTGAAAACGAACTGCTTTTGAAGCATTTGAACATGAACTGTGAAAGTCAGACGCTACCTTCCGCCTCCTGTCCTCCTCGGCGTACTTCTCTGCGTTCTTGACCATGTTTTCTATGTCGTCTTTGCTGAGGCCACCAGACGACTGGATGACAACTGAATGAAGCGAAAGCAAAAAAAATAAGCAGAAGCAAGATTAAGGTCTTTCATTAAGACTCAAATTCTACATGTGATCATATTCACAACGTATTTTACTTGTGTAATGTGTGTTCGAGTTAAAAAGGAAAGTTGCATGCTAGAAAATATCTGAGTTTCCAGTGAACCGCCAATGACTTTCAGAGATTTAATACAAAGATACTCTTATTTACGTGATCTTTACAACATTAACATGAACTGCATTACTACAGGTCGCATTACAGTGAGTAAATACCAATTGGCTAACATGGACCAATAGTCTCCATTAGAAAGTTATGGAGCAAATTTTTACATAGTTATATAGTTTTAACAATTGAGAATGGTTCGGTCTAGACTTACTCTGCTGTTCTCGGCCGGTACCCTTGTCTTTAGCGGAGACGTGCACAATCCCGTTAGCGTCGATATCGAAGGTGACTTCAATCTGTGGGACGCCACGAGGAGCAGGAGGGATGCCGACCTGTTCATAACACAGACACGCAGCGTTCGAGCCGTGAATGGATCCGAATTGTAAATCAGCATGTCAATGTTTGGCCCCAGAGCACTTACCAGGGTGAACTGTCCCAGAGTCTTGTTGTCCGCAGCCATCTCTCGCTCTCCCTGACAAACCTTGATCTCCACTTGAGTCTGTCCATCAGCAGCGGTGGAGAACACCTGAGAGGAGACAGACCACCGACGTCAGTCCATGCTAATATTCACGCATTATATAGGGCTGAGCAATGCATAGCTTAAAAAAAAGATTCATCATAAATCTCCTTTTAGGCCCTGAAATGAAAATCAGAGTAACCTTCATTTCCACTACTGGCCATCGCAACTTCGAAAATGGAAAATGTACAAAAGATGCAAAAAGTGAAATCGTAATGTTAAAAAAAAGAAAAGAAATAAAAAAGTATATAAAATATTATTATTATTATTATTTATTCTTTTCGCTAACTGAATACTCTAGAAATGTTTCACAGTTTTTCTTTCTCTCACCAAATGACATTTAACCAATCTTTCTCATTGATATCAATATGATCATAATAAACAGCATTTTTTGCCTACATACACTACCGGTCAAAAGTTTGGAAACATTAAGGTTAATATATTTTAAGCTGTAATTTATTCCTGTGATCAAAGCTGAATTTTCAGCAACGTTACTCCAGTCTTCAGTGTAACATGATCCTTCAGAAATTATTCTAATATGCAGATTGCTGCTCAAGAAACTAGTAAGAATAATAATGTTGAACAGTTGTGCTGCTTCCTTTTTTTGTGGAAACCGATCATGTGACACTGAAGACTGGAGTAATGATCCTGAAAATTCTGATAATATACACTAAAATATATTACAACAGAAACCAGTTTATTTAAATTGTAATAATACTTCACAGTAGGGGTGGAGCCGAATCCGAATACGGTATTCGGAAAGGCACAAATAATGTGTTTTTTACGAATACTTATTCCGAACAAATACTTAAAAAAATATTTGTATTCGGGAACAAGAAATACTTTATATCAAAAAGCTGCGTTCCTCACGAGACCGCAGAGCGCGAGTTGAGTGAGTGACGTTCAGGAAGAGGTGACTGACACAGGCTGCTCCACACAGCAACAGAGAGGGCTCGGCTGAGCGAAAAAACACTTAAAAGGAACACTCCGACTTTTTGGGACTTTAGCCTATTCATCTTACCCCCCAGAGTTAGATAAGTCCATACATACCTTTTTCATCTCCGTGCGTGCTGCTATAAGTCTGTTTGACGCACCCACCGCTAGCCTAGCTTAGCACAAAGACTCGATGTGACTGGTTGCAGCTTTCATACTGATCCAAATGAGTGACAAAATAACGCAAACGTTTTCCTATTTACATGTTGTGGTTTGTATAGTCACATAATGTACAAATAACAAAGTCAAATGAGACACAGACATCTTTTAACCGTATAAAACCTGGGAACTATTCTCTGAAGGCGAAGCACTGCTACTTTGACGGCGTAATAACCGCATCACCGGAGACGCGCCGTGGTGAGGAGCGGAGAGTTCGCTCGGTGTTTGGGTAACAGAGTCAGCAATTTATAAATAGTAAAAGCGTAGTTTAGAGTCATGGGTTTTCGCTCTATTGTAAATAGCTGCGACTGTAAACAGGGGAGGTAATACCATGTTTCACAGAATTCCAACTAAAAACGCTGACTGGATGAAGAAATGGCTAACTTACTCTGGATATTTATCCAAACACACCTAAGATTATCAAGGGACATTATGTTTGCTCGGTACATTTCAATGAGGACGACTATTTTGAAAAAATGGAATTTGCCACACGGACCATAATGTGCTGAAGGATACGGCCATCCCATCGATAGCACAGACAGGACAAGTGGATCACCTGCGGCTGAGGTAAGTGTTTTTAGATGACCTACTGTAACAGTGCCTTTAGCCAGATCTAATGTAACGTTAGTGACACTATTATATGATTAGGGAATGAATATGTTTTTATCTTGATGCGGTGCGGACCCGCTTGGGAAAAAAAAAACGAGCGCGTTCACCGCGTTGAACTTGCACCCTGCGCGCGGCGCGCCTAGTAGCCTAAATTTGAAATAACCATGGAAATAACGAACTTGAGCGTGCAAAAGGGTACGATAGGCTGTGAGTTCATTGTGCAAAAACAATTTGTGCTATTACTTTCCCCTTATTCTATCCTATAGTAATGCAATACTGTATATTATATAGGCTACTGTTGAATACATTTGGTTCATTTGGTTAAATTGCATTTAAAATATATTGATTCCTGTAATAATAATTATTTATTCATGTGATATTATAAATCTGGGTGCGTTTTTGCTTGGAAATCAATGAAAAATGGTACTGTATTACCTGGTCTCCCCTGTTTATTGTCACAGCTCATACAATAAAGCAAACACCCGTGATAAACTATGCTTTTCTATCTAACGTTAGTAATTGCTGACTCTTTATTCCAACGCTGACCGAAGCGAACTCTCTGCTCCTCGTCACGGTGCGTCTCAGGTGATTGTTATCACTCTGCCCAAGTAGCAGTGCTTCGCCTTCAGAAAATATAGTATTTATACGGTCAAAAGATGTCTGTGTCTCATATGGCCTTGATATTTGCACATTCTGTGACTATACAAACTACAACATGTAAATAGGAAAACGTTTGCGTTATTTTGTCACTCATTTGGATTAGTATGAAAGCTGCAACCATTCACATCCAGTCTTTGTGCTAAGCTAGGCTAGCGGTGGGTGCGTCAAACAGACTTATAGCACGCACGGAGATGAAAAAGGTATGTATGGACTTATCTAACTCTGGGGGGTAAGGTGAATAGGCTAAAGTCCCAAAAAGTCGGAGTGTTCCTTTAAATGCATTACTATTTTTGTTGAACAGATGTTTGTACCTTAACTAGGTTCCGGAGGCAGTTTATAACTTTCGGGAAGCGGAGTTTGATCGGGAGTATATTCCATTATTGACGTCTGCAGACGGGTGCTCTCCTGTTCACGTAGCTCTGTTAGCTCGGTAACGGTAATTATTTGTTTCTTATATGGCTTGGTTGAATTCTAATGTAGAATGCGGTCTGTTATTATAACAGGCCGCTGCTTATAAGTATAACACACCGTTGCCATGAAAAACAGAGCGTTGCCATGGATTCTAAACATAGAGACAGAACGGACTATTTTTCTTTTTTAGCGGAAGCGATACAATCGTTTTTTAAATCAATAAACTCCTTTTTATATCCATATTTTGAGTCAAATTATTGATTTATTTAGGCTTCGGGCTTCACGTCGGGCTCATAATCAATCTCCTCGCTATACATTATCCCTAACTTATTCTGTCTGTTCAGCGTTCTCCACCGTGGTGTTGGGGTTCATAATGTTCACAATTTTATTTCATTAGTTGTTGGTTTAACCATGGTTCATGAGGTAATGGCTGACTGTTATTTTCTTTTCAATGACTTTTCTTGTTACATGTTCATTGCTGGATTTATAGAAAAACATCAACCAATATTGCATATCCATAATTATTATAATGGATCCATACACTATAAAGTAAATTAAAGAATATTATGCCTATTTTGAATTTTACTCGAATACAAATACTTTCCCCCCGTTAACAAATACAAATACCGGCTGCTTTGCACACCCCTACTTCACAGTATTACCGTTTTTACTGTATTTGATCAAATAAATGCAGCCCTGATGAGATTAAGCGACTACTTTCAAAACCATTAATGTTGCCAAACTTTTGACTGGTAGTGTAAGTTATTAAAATTTCATGCCAAAATCTGTCAATAATACATTTCAAAACCATTTAACTTTTGTTCATCTTCTAAACACAAATGAAGACATTTTTTATGAAACCTGCGATATTTTTGTCCCTCCATTAAAACCCTATTCCACCTATTTAGTCCAGGTTTTCTGAAGTTGAGCAATGTACTCATGTGAATAAAAGCCTAAATTATAGGCCTAAATTAAGCCTAAATTAAAAAAAAAAAAGCCTAAATTATTTCTCTACATTCTTTATATTGACAGAGACGGTTTCAATAAAATGGTAATGAAAGCCACGTCTGATACTGAAGTTTAGTGACACTGTGGAAACATCCTTCTTCCCACAATGCAGTCTTGCAAGTTACAGGACCAAGTAACAAGACTTAGCAAAGTGTACAAACAATTTAACCTCTTAACTGTCACCCCCCCTTTTTTGAATAGACATGAAAATGCACATTTCGAACTTAAATGGTTGTAATTCAAGAATGCTTTGGAATATAGATAGACATATGATTGGTCTTGTTTTAAAGAAGACATTTGGCAGATTTTTGTAGAAGTGAAATAAATTAAGAAAGTAAAACAGAAAAAAAGTTATAGAAGTTTGAGTTTATGGAAATGTACAATGTAAAAATATTAATTATTCATATTTTACATAAAATATATATTTTCAAAACCTGGGCTACTCTAAAATGGCAGAAAGATCAAAGCCAAAAATCTGAACAAGTTGTGTTTCAAATTTTAGGTTGATATCTCAAAAAATGAGCTTTCAGTAAGATTTTGTTTGAGCGCAGTACCAAACTTTTTCACTAGGGCACAATCAGACTCCATTACTGCCCATATAAGAGCGTCTGCATTTCCATTCGTGTTTTGAGTGATATGAACCATTATTTTCACAATTTTCATACAATTTCTGAAGTAGAGATCCTATTCAGAAGTAGTATGGGAAGTTTGGCAGATTTTGATATGAATTGAACCTCTAAGAAACACATACAAAGAACACGCATTTAAGTCATAGCTAGCTGCCACGTCACAAATGGTGAATTTATTATTTTTTTTTTCTTGATATTTCAAACTTTTCAGACCTTTTTTTTCCAAAATAATTGAATGGATTCTATCTTTTGAACTTTTGGCATTAAAACAAACTGAGGTATCTACCATTTTTTCATGATTTTTCATGTTTACTGCTATTTTAAAATAAAGGTCTGAACACGCCTTATGAGTATGAAAATATTCTTGTTGCATATTGATAAATTATGGCTCCTCTGGAATATATTTTGAAAATCAGTCACCAAATATGGAAACTAGAGATTGTAAGCTTTCAAATGATATATAGTTTGTCAATATTATTTAAAGCCAAATAACAATAAAAAAATCTTCACAATGTAGCTTAATTTTATACAAGTGCTTCATCCCTGCTCCACACAAACACACAGGTGTAAAGCACATGCATGTACTTGTATCTCTGGTGAAAAAACATAACATGATCTCAGTTACCAATCGATGAAACGTACAAGCTAATGTCTTCACAATCCAAACACACCAGTGCTTCTTGCATCCCGTTTAGGAACTGACCTGGCTTTTCTTGGTAGGAATGGTTGTGTTTCTGTTGATGAGTTTGGTGAAGACGCCTCCCAGAGTCTCGATGCCGAGGGAGAGAGGAGTGACGTCCAACAAGAGCACGTCCGTCACGTCCCCGGCCAGAACTCCTCCCTGGATGGCAGCGCCGATAGCCACGGCTTCATCCGGGTTCACGGACTTACTGGGAGCCCGACCAAACAGATCCTGCACCGTCTGCTGGACCTGAGAACAGAGGGAAGAGTCCAGTCACCTTCAGTTACACAGCGCTTTTAACACGATAGATGGTTTGTCACTTTACAGTGATGAGAGGAAATTACAGTAACAGATTGTTTAGGCTTTCAGCAGCTCTAGAATAAAGTTATTGTCCAGCTAAAGTTAGTTTTGATCGATTCACTTCCGTTGCAAAGATATTAGTTATTAACGTATGGGCCGCTTACATGACACCGTTCAAACAGAAAATCCTTAACGCGCTCCGGCCCGCACCAACTGTGTCTGGGGCTCGAAGAAGCAAACATTGAAATAGGTTTCAAGGTGCAAGCATTGAAAAATTTATTTTTAAATTGCACAAGTTATCACTGCACAAACTTCAAAAACGCTGATGGCATGCACATCAGTGATGCGCGGGTTGATCCGAAATGAGCGGGTGCCTGCGGTCACGGGTCATCCAAAAATGTTTTTAATGATATTCGGGTCGCGGTCGGTCGGGTCGTTTGAAAAAAGATGCCAATTAAACATTTGTATATAGTACTAGACCCAATTTTTGATGCAATATACAGCCCTACACATTATTGGCTGAATAACTGGCACGAAGATAACACACAAAGCTCAGTCTAAACAGTTCTCGGTTCTGTACTGGTGATTCGAGAACCGCTGTCCCTGTCCGTTCGGTATACGCAGTATCAGCTGCTCGTGCTCATCACTTCTCTCAACAGTGGCACCAACATGTCTCGCTTCAGTGAACTGTTGGAGTTACTGGAGTAAAATCGAATTCAGGATATTGATTTATTTCGATTCGTAGGCGACTGTCAGGCATGTCTAAAAGTGAGTAACTTTAGTAACTTGTGGATCAGCGCTGACGCAAGATGAACTGTTTCGAACGATTCAGTTCGATACTGTTGTTTGAGTGCCTTGTTCATTACTTTTTTATTTCATTGAAATAAATGTTTGAAACAACTTGATATGGCTTAACGATATTTATTGAGAACTGAAATATATATAGGCTATTTGGACAACATGTTTCATGGACAACATAAGTAATAATAATAGAATAATAATACTGTTATTAGTGCAGAAGAACAAATATATTGATGCTGCTTCTCCAAATACATCCGTTTTGCACTTTGTGTGAGTTTGTTCCTGTAAGGTCCCTTTTCTTTGTCCTTATCTTTTAGCATTGCTTTACTTTCTTCCTTTTTTTCTCGTATTCTTAGATCCGTCTCTGTCCTGCCAAAATAATAAACGCGCGAAAATTTAAAGAGCTCTGGAATGTTAAAGGGTTAGTTCACCCAAAAATGAAAATTAAGTCATTAATTACTCACCCCCATGCTGTACCAACCCCGTAAGACCTTCGTTCGTCTTCGGAACACAAATGAAGATATTTTTGATTAAATTTGAGAGCTGTATAACTACCACATTGGCTCCTAAGGGACTGCCTCTTGACGGCCCAGAAAGTCAATGAAGAAAATGTTTAAATATCCCAAGTGACTACCGTGGCTCAACTATATGTTTATCAAGCGACGCGAATACTTTTTGTGCGAAAAAACAAACAAAAATAACGAGTTTATTCGACTATTTCTTTTCTTCCTTGTAGGCCAGAACGAGACTTCCTTATAGATTTCCACGTCGCATGCGCGAGAATTGCGATCGGAAGTAGTGTAAAAGCTGGTGTAAGCAGATCGCAAATCTCGCGCATGCGTCGTGGAAATCTAAGGAAGTCTCGTTCTGGCCTGCAAGGAAGAAAAGAAATAGTCAAATAAACTCGTTATTTTTGTTTGTTTTTTCGCACAAAAAGTATTCGCGTCGCTTGTTAAACATATAGTTGAGCCACGGTAGTCACTTGGGATATTTAAACATTTTCTTCATTGACTTTCTGGGCCGTCAAGAGGCAGTCCCTTAGGAGCCAATGTGGTAGTTATACAGCTCTCAAATTTAATCAAAAATATCTTCATTTGTGTTCCGAAGACGAACGAAGGTCTTACGGGGTTGGTACAGCATGGGGGTGAGTAATTAATGACTTAATTTTCATTTTTGGGTGAACTAACCCTTTAATCGCGTCAATGGGTTCTAAAGGCGTTGCCCCTGGTAACCGATAGCATCTCCTACCATCATGGACGACCGGCTCAGACCCCGCCTAAATCGGCACGCGACACCTCATTCTCAATAGTCTATAGTCTTTGGAGGGCCACAACCCTGCAGAGTTTAGCTTCAACCCTAATTAAACAAACCTGATCAGCTAATCAAGTCCTTCAGGCTTATTTGAAAACTGCAAGTGTGTGTTGAAGCAGGGCTGGAACTAAACTTTGTAGGGCTGTGGCCCTCAAGGAACCGAGTTTGACTTTTTTATTTGACTTTTTTTTTATTTAACCGAGTTTGACTTTTGACGTTTTTATTTGAGCCTTCATGAATATTACACATTGGAGCGTTGTTGCTGTTCACGGTCAGGGACTATTTATTTCTAGCGGAAGGAAGGCTTTTAGTGATTTTACTTCATAAAAGTTGCACTAATACATTTTTTTACTTTAATATTTGTATTGTGTGGTAACGGTTTTATAAAAGCAATAAGGTACTCGAGGCAAGTGCTATCGTGAATAAGTGTTCACAATCAGTGTTGGGTGTAACTAATTACATTTTCGAGGGAAAAGTAATTAAATTACAGTGACTTATTACTTAGTAAAGTAAGGGATTACTCTTCATTTATCTGTAATTTAATTAAAGTTACTTCTGATGTAATTGAGGTAAATACTGTGTATAGATCAATTCGATCTCACAGTGATTCGTATGCATTTTATGAGGCGTCTAAAGATTACGACCGCACTCGTACAAATTTGTATGAATTGTTGTAAAATATGTATGAAAAAAAGTGTGAAATGTCATAAGATCAGACATAAAACAGTGGGTTTAACATCAAAATGCATTGTCTGATGTTAAAAAGGATGTTTTTATAATGTAACCTTCTCCACCTTGGTCATTTTAAAGGATAATTCATGCAATTTTATAGTATTTATAAAAACAGATTCTTGTCTATCCTTGTATTATTCAGCTGGTTGAGATTGATATGGGATTTTGAAAGTAATTAGTAATTCAAAGTAATTAAATACTTTTTAGAGAGGAGTAATTAGTACAGTAATCTAATTACACTGTTGAAGAGGTAATTAGTAACTAGTAACTAATTACTTTTGAGTAACTTACCCAACACTGTTCACGATAGAAGGCTCTGCTTTGCGTCGAGCCTAACACCCTTCAGCCGTTACTCATTCACGATACAGCACAGCCTCTCGTAATTTATTGCTAACGCGCGTTTGAATGTGCGCAACCGTGTAGTCTTTCTTTACAAATTGACCTCAACAAATGACTTGTCTGGCCTTAACATATAACACTGTATCGCTTTCAAGTATCCATGTGAACGGGAAAAATTTCACCAACGTTTTATCTGTACAGAGCTAATGGCAATGAAGCCGCTTCATGTGGAGAGCGGTTCAGTTCTGACCTTTGGCATTCGGCTCATTCCCCCGACCAGCAGCACTTCTCCGATGTCACTCTTGGAGACTTCAGCATCTTGCATGGCCTTCTGGCATGGAGACACCGTCCTGCGGATGAGATCCGCCACGATGCTTTCGAACTGGGAGCGCGTGAGCTTCATGTTCAAGTGTTTGGGCCCAGAGGAGTCCATCGTCAGGTAGGGCAGGTTGATGTCAGTCTGTGTGCGGAAACATTAAGATACAGCGCAAGCTTGGTGAAATAACAGGAATAGCTGTTCCTCTTCTCCCAATTTCAATATCAAATAATAATCCATTCCCTAAAAAACACAGACTATTCACTATTCACTTCAGCACTCAAATTATAATTGGCACTTTTAGATGTGTTGTCAGGTTTGACATGTTCAACAACCACGAAATAAATAAACACACACTTTGATTTAAGTGCTTCAGTGGAAGGGAAGATTATTGCTAATTACAGTTTTAAAGGGACAGTTCACTCAAAAATGAAAGCCAGATTTGGAACAACATGAGGGTCAATAAACAATTCTCATTTATGGGTGAACTGTCCCTTTCAATTCCAGTCTGTTTCCCATCAGGAATGTGATTTTTCCACATTTATGATTTTCCCTGTGTTTTCTGCTACTCGTAAGGCAAAAATGGCCTTGATGGTCAATGGTAGGGGAAACACTGCTAGAATACAATCTGTTCGCTTTCCCCACACGTTCTGTGTGGCATTTTATGTTTCCTCGTTGTGACATGAGACGCATGCGGCCGACACACAGAACTGTGGCGCAAAACATCTTTACACATTTTAATCAAATAAAAGTTCTCCCTGAAGTTTTATGCTAAAATAAAAGCTCAATGGCACATTATTAGAAAAAGAAAAAAGGAAATATTTAAAACTGTTATATAAAATAAACTCTTATTTTATACACTTAATTTTGGATTTTACAGTACAATTATATTGCCGCAATAGAAATGCGTCTTTAATTTGTGGGTTATAATTTGAATAATAATAAATCATGTCTTTGAGTGTGCTAAGAGCAGTCATGTGACCAGACACTCACCTGAAGAGAGGAAGACAGTTCACACTTGGCTTTCTCCGCAGCCTCTCTCACCCTCTGCAGAGCCATGTTGTCTTTCATCAGATCCACTCCAGACTGCAACGAGACCACACACACACACACACACATTAACAAGCAGCACACATTCTTTACCTGGATGGTGAGAATCCTGCATTACCTAATGCAAACAGTGACCTACTTCTACAATACAGATCGCTTCAAAGCAGCTTTACAGTGAGAACAGGAAATACTGATTCAGTGACGGAGAGAGAATACAATTCTGCTGTAAAGACAATGGTAAACTCAAACCCTTGTGAGAAACCAGACCATCAGAGGGCCAGTTCTCCTCTCAGTGCGGTTGTGAAATTTGTGTCAATAACCAACCCTAATCTTAATTCGATTCAATATTGATTACTTTGGATATCAGGTAAATGGACTCAATTTGAAATTTGAGACTTTTAGTATCAGTAGAATCAAAGCACAAAGATTATTGCGATTTATAGGATGGGATACGCGCTACAATGCTTCATCCATTCATAAAATGAAAACAGGATGACTAATAGATTCAAGAATCGATTAATAGAGGAATCGATATTTTTTTACCCAGCTCTAGTTATGATTCCAGGCTCTAATATTATCTTATATTCACACTAATACAGCACTATATGAAGAGGAATATTGAGCGCGCCTAATTAAATCACATCACTTACACTTGAACTCGACAACATTAATATCCACAAAGTGTGGATTCCAATCAAACAAATATTCAAATGATGAAACCGCAGAATTGATCAATATAGCAAACTTGGAAAATTATGTAAAATTCATTCAAATTAATGGGTCGTCTAAATTAACTAAATATTTGACCAAGTTTTGCTGCTAGCCGAAGACGAGCTTAAAAAGGACTGTATTTTGCATTGCAGTCTGATTATTAATAATTCTGCTAAAAAAAAAAAAACAATAGTTCAAGTTTTTACATTCTATATTGAGGCTTAATAATAGGGGTTTAAATCAATGACTCAAATTAAATGCTAGGCCTGTAAAACGATTAAATCGCATCCAAAATATAAGTTTGTGTTTACATAATATATGTGGGTATTTCTATATAATATAAATAATATATAAATTTACATACAGTATATGCATGAAAATATTTCTTATACATGCACGTGTGTGTATTTATACATATTAAAAATAATTATACACTGTGCACCAACATATATTATGTAAACAAAAACTTTTATTTTGGATGCGATTAATCGTTTGACAGCCCTATTAAATGCAGGTATTTATTTATATTTATACTAGGGCTGTCAAGCGATTAATCGCATCCAAAATAAAAGTTTGTGTTTACATAATGCACTGTGTATAATTATATATATATATATATATATATATACACACACACACACACACACATGCTTGTATACATTTAAGAAATTTTTTCATGTATACACTGTCTATAGATTTATGTATAACGTATATTATATATAAATATTTTATATATAAATAATATTTTTTTCCTTAAATATACATGCATGTGTGTGTATTAATATATATACAAAATAATTATACACAGTGCACCCACATATATTATGTAAACACAAACTTTTATTTTGGATGCGATTAATCGCGATCAATCGTTTGACAGCCCTAATTTATACTTAAATATTTATTTTATTTTTGTCATTTACTGGTTGCCAGTACATCATAAGGATCTTAGATGGTAAAAACAGCAGTATTCATAGCGGTTTAATCTAACTTTACCATTTTACACAATGTAAACTGTCTGAAAAATTGAGTGTGGTCCATTTTAATATAGCATATGAAGTTATATAGACCATTTTGCAAGATGTAAACAACACTGGTCCAGAAGCACTTCCTGTTTCAGTTTTTTAACACTACATAAAAGCTGGGATAAAATACAACCAACAGAACATGTAAAACTGAAACAAAAAGTTAAACAACATCTTTAAGATGTTTTCTTTACATGTGAAATAAAGAAAACAGCTACAAACAGGAAGTGCTTCTGGACCAGTGTTGTTTACATCTTGCAAAATGGTCTATATGGGCAAATGCTGCTGAAAATCAGGGTTTTTAATGACCCTTTCAAAATAAATACCGGTGATTGTTATCAGCCATGGGTGAAACACTACTTACACACACACACACACAGGGATACAAACCTCTCTCTTGAACTCCTTCACTATATGTTTGAGAAGGTGCTGATCAAAATCTTCTCCACCCAGGAAGGTGTCTCCATTGGTGGATTTCACCTCAAAAACTCCCTTCTGGATCTCCAAGACCGAGATATCAAACGTCCCGCCGCCAAGATCATACACAGCAATTCTGGAATAAAGACAGATATAGTTTGCTTTTGAATGAAGTCATTAGAAACAAGACTCCAGATATTGGATCTGTGCATTCGGTCTGTTTGACATCAGACACACTAATATCTTAACGCTGGCATAAAAAACACATCAATCAACACTGTACATCCATTTTATATACACCACACAATAAAACACATGGACACACATTTGTCCCTATCAGGAACATGCATAAAACAAATGAATACAATATATATATGCATACATGCACACGGATTTACTGTAGTCTAGTAAATTAACAGACTAATTTACCAGACTACATTAGTGTAATGGGTGTGTTTTTGTAAAGTGAGGGACATACTCGATAATATCAGATTAAATCAACATTTACGATATCATAGACGACCTATATCGCACAGAATTGATTACTTACTTGCTACTATTTAATAGACCAGCTAGCTGTACCTAAAAAATTAGAGCACTGATTTGGGTTTTTTTTTTTTTTTGGATTGGCATCAGTATTGGACATGAATATGTATTGGCGTAATCTCTAGCAATGTTGGTGTGTAAAGATAAAATAAAATATTGTAGTAAGAGCATCTGATACTTACACTTTGTCTTGAGTCTTATCCAGTCCATAGGCTAAAGCAGCAGCAGTCGGCTCATTGATGACACGCAGCACATTCAAACCGGCAATCTGTCCTGCATCCTTAGTCGCCTGTAACAAACACACCACGTTTTACAGACAGGAACGCATCTGATAAAGCAAAGCGGTTCACAACATGAGCGCTCACGTCAGTGGCCGATAACAGAGTGCTTTCTTTAGAGTTAAATGCTACTAAATCATCAACTCTGTCATCATTTACTCACCCTCAAGTTGTTCCAAATCTGTTAATGGACCCCATTGACTTCAATATTATGGAGTAAACATTATGGAGATCAATGGGGCCCATAAACGGTTTGGTTTGTGTTCAACAGAAGAAACTCATACAGGTTTGGAACAACAAAGGTGAAGAAAAGATGACATAATTTCCATTTCTGGGTGAACTATCCCTTTAAGAAAGAGAAAAGCAGAAGGTGAGGTTGACCTGTCTCTGGGAGTCGTTGAAGTACGCCGGCACTGTAATAACAGCGTTCTTCGCCGGATGGCCCAAGTAGCTCTCTGAGAAAGAAGAGGAGGAACAGTGGTTTGATGGAGCTTTGGATTATTTGGGTGTGAAGCTGCTGTTCTTCAGGCAGGACTCACCTGCGGTCTCCTTCATCTTCATGAGGATGAAGGCTCCGGCCTGACTGGGCGAGTACAGTTTGCCGTGAGCTTCCAGCCAGGCGTCTCCATTAGAGGCACGCACGATCTTATACGGCACATTTTTCCTGTCAATCACAGCAAAGCTCATAACTTATTTGCAAAAAAAAAATAAGGATGTTAATGATTAATTCCAGTTGATTTGATGGATTAATCTCAGCACAGAAGCGTTCAGTGATCATGCGAGTTGTGAGTAAATATTATGAACACCACAAACATGTCGATGAAACATGAGAACAAGACATCATCTTTATTTGCAGTGATGTTATTTCTAATAAGCTGCTCTTACTCTTCCACAGATGTTTCCCGAATATTCTTGGACCCATTCATGCCAATATAGGTGACGATTAGTCGATACATGTATTGTTAATATTTCATGAAAATTGATTAAAGGATTAGTTCACTTTTAAAAAAACATTTGCTGATAATTTACTCACCCCCATGTCATCCAAGATGTCCATGTCATTCTTTCTTCAGTCGAAAAGAAATTAAGGTTTTTGATGAAAACATTCCAGCATTTTTCTCCATATAATGGACTTCAATGGGAACCAAACGGTTCAAGGTCCAAAAGACAGTTTCAGTGCAAACTGTTCAAAGGGCTTTAAACGACACCAGACGATGAATAAGGGTCTTATCAAGTGAAACAATCGGTCATCAAAACGAACAAATCTTTTTGAGTCATTTGGTTCACTCAACGAACGAAATGACTCGAAAAAAGATTTGTTCATTCGAGTCATGAACGCTCATCACAGAACAGAGCAAGGCGAACATTTGTGCTTATAAAACTTCAACTTTTTTATTTATTGTTGAAATGAGCGATCGTTTCGCTTGATAAGACCCTTATTCATCGTCTGGAATCATTTAAAGCTGCACTGAAACTCTCATTTGGACCATGAACTGTTTGGACCCCATTGAAGTCCATTATATGGAGAAAATGCTGGAATGTTTTCTTCAAAAACCTTCATTTCTTTTCGACTGAAGAAAGAAAGACATGGACATCTTGGATGACATGGGGGCGAGTAAGTTATCAGCAAAAGTTTTTTTTTAAAGTGAACTACTCCTGAAAATTTACATGCCAAGAACATTTCCATTATTTTGGTGATCGAGTAATCTGTCGATTATTTTGACAATTAACTGGATGACAGCGCAACACCTCATTATGAAACACCTTCCCACACAGAAAGTGAGTTAGTCCAGAGCAGCATTTACTGTGAATTATTGCTGCATCCGACTACAGATTTTTCTAGTTGAACATAAGCTGAAAACGAAATCAGAGTGATCCTGCCAACGACTGTAACGTTAGTTTCCATCACCTCCCAAAAGACGACGAATCTTCCTGTGTACATTTGTTTAAATTCTTAATATTCTATAAACTCTATCAGCATGTGTTTGGATGTTCGCTACTGATGTTACACCTAAACTCAGGATCAAAGCCTGTGTTGACAGAATACCAAATGTGTCAGTTAATGTATTCAAGCAGCACATTCATTTATAATTTTGAATAAACTCCAAAGCACAATGACTAAGTGTGTATTTTTTTATTTTAATTGTTTGTCAGCTCGCACAACTGTCTGTCACCATGCCTTGATGAGTATTGATTATTAATAATGTTATTATAATACTCCCAATCAACGACTGCGGAGGGTAAAGGTACTGTTATTTCACCCTTTTGAATTTCGTTGAGGTTGTGTTCCCACATCGTTAGCTAGTTTGGATCGCTATAACTTGAATGACTGTCAACTGTTGAATGAACGAGTGTCAAGCATGTCAAATCGTGCTTTGTTTACTTCAAAACGGAAGTCGCGCCCACTTCTGACGCAAGGCCTCATGGGGCGTAGGAAACTTGTGGATCCTGAGGAGAATACTAAACCATAATGAGCGTTTTAAACATATAGGCGTAATATAGCCTTTTCCGCACTCGAGCACACACAAACGGAAAAATAGCAAGGAGACATTATTTATAATAATGTTGTCTGAGTCAGTGATGCTGACGTGACAGAGTACATTATTTCGCTTTGGATATGTTTGCTTAAAAGTAGACATTTCAAGCGACTAATAAAATTGGTCAACTAAGCCTCTTCTAGCCGACTAACGTTTAGTTTTAATATATCGTGCAGCAGAAAGCGGTGTAATGCGGTTCATGGATTCTCTGAAATTTCAGGAATTGATCAACACAGGCAAATTGCATCGTGACAGCCCTAATTACAAGTTTGCGAGTATAATAACTAGCGTGTATGTACAGTGAGTGAGTGCATGTTTGGACATCAAGTTTGAAATGCCTTACAAATCTTTCTGGACTTCAGCGTCATCATAGCGCCGTCCAATCAGACGTTTGGTGGCGTAGAGAGTATTGTTGGGGTTGGTGACCGCTTGACGTTTAGCCGGCATTCCCACGAGCCGCTCTCCTTCGGATGTGAAGGCCACCACTGACGGGGTCGTCCTCGCACCCTCTGCGTTTTCCAGGACCTGTTACGGCGATGCGCTTTAGTTCAACAGCATTTTGATTCAATGGAAACAGTAGTAGAGGTGACTGATTCATCCTTCATTCACAGTTGAAGGAATACTTGTTCTCAACAGGGGCTTTACATCATTTCAAATGTGCATTTCATTATAATTCACATGATTTCTGGTAAAAATTGTAATACAAAGAAGAGGCCTCTTTTACTGTACCTTCTGATCACACTGCAAAAAAGTGACCTTCCTCAGTCTGGTTTTCCAGTGCAATCATCTAAATATTCTTAAATCAAGATGCATTTACAAGTTTTGTTCATGAAATTGATTTTAAAAATGAGTTTACACTAAAAATAAATAAATATATATATATATATATATGAAGAGTTCAGATGCAAAAGCCTCTAAATGCCATTTGAAATTTTCTTCTTTAATGATGATTTTTATCAAGCTTGTATATTTAAGTTCAGTAATTTCACTTAAATAACAATTAATAGGTAATTATCATTGCCATTTAAGTGAAATCACTGAACTTAAATATACAAGCTTGATAAAAATCATCATTAAAGAAGAAAATTTCAAATGGCACTTAGAGGCTTTTGCATCTGAACTCTTCATATATTGACATGAACAGATATTTGTTCATTTTTTTTTTTTTAACCTTTATTTATCCAGGTAAAATGTTTGAGAACCACTTCTCATTTACAAACATGACCTGGCCAACTAAACGGCCAACTAAATTAACTAAACGTTCATGTCAAAGGTTCACTTCATTTGTTTAATTTATCAAGACTTTGTTTTACATTTGCATGTCAAAGATGTCTAGATATTTCGTCCCCTTGGAATTATAAGGTTCTATCTGACATTTTTGTCAAAATTGAGTTATTCACATATTCTTATTCTGTGACAATTTATTTACTTTATGTGATGTGTTTTGTACATTTAGGGTCCCTGTTATTTTTACGTTTGAAAGAAACTTGTTCCCCATACACATTTTCCTATATGGAATGCAAAAACTTTGAAGCTCAATATCTCAAAACTGTTCAGAACGCAGATGAAACCTTATAATTCCAAGGGGACGATTTGTATTGGAAAACCGGCCAAAAATGTTGAGGAAGATACATTTTTGCCCCATGTAAATTCTTGAGACAGTGCATTTTATAAGCTTTGTTCATATTTTGCACATTTTAAACTAGGGCTGGGGTAAACGATTATTAACTAAACGATTAGTTGAGCGATTAGTCGACTAATCTAATGACTAATTGGACGACTAATATAAAGAATATTTTTTCTGCTGCTCAATTAATAAAAAAACAATATCTCAAATAAATACTAGCATACTGAATCAAGATACTATAAGCTGGCTAACGTTAGTCTAATGTTATGTATTTGAACACCATCATTATAACTCTACAACCGCCAAAACCGTGTTATTAAAATATTTTTTACAAACATTTTTTATCATAGAGAATGTTTAAATATTAATATCAGCTGAGGAGGGAAACGGAGGCGGAGTTAGTGGTGCGATCGGAGGCTGCTACTGCTGGAGATGAATCGGGAGAGGTTTGTGCACCTACTGATCCGAGCGCGTGCTGACACGGAGTAAAGCCTTGTTTATACTCGACACGTCCGCACGAGCGCGAATGTGCGCACGGCAAAAATGACGCGTTGGGTGCGCAAGACCAGGAAGACTGTGGCTGGCTGTGTGTGTACGCCTTTTTTTGTAACAGCGCGCCCGGCGCCGCGTCCGGGAACCACTTTCAAGCCGAATCTGCCCGAGCTTGTACGTCTCACCACACCGGCACCCATTTTGCGCATCTAAATTGCAATTTTTTTTGCTTAAGGGTTTGTTTACTGTGTGTGATTCATTTAATGGATAGCACGTTCACTTCAAGTTGTCTTCGTCCTCTCTTCTGCAATGTTTCGGTCTCCCACGTGTGTGTGTGGCAAGCTGTACCGCCGGGAACATGCAAAAAATAAATGAATAAAGAAGCGTCGATGCAAAAATATGACGTCGACGCAATTTTGACGTCGAATCATCGACGCGCCGCTACAGCACTATTTTAAACAATGACACGTAAGCACATAACAGTGCGGTATATCACTGAGTCCTGAGACAAAACCCTTTAAAATGTTGTCACAGGAGTTACTCCTGCGCTCTTAGCGGTTTTGTATTGTTTTTATGTGCCGCAACAACTAAATTAACACTTCATGGCTCAGTTCCACAAACAGGGCTTAGATTAAGCCAGGATTAGACCTTAGCTTTCATAAAAGCACCTTAGAAAGAAAAAAAAAACACCTTTACTCGTGTGCATCTTGAAACAAAACAATTGCATGGACATATTTTAAGATATGTTTCTTTCCGTTAAAACAGTTCAAACATGTATTTCACTCTGAGTGCAGTAATGTTTTCGTCAGTGATGACTATAACGAAATGATTTCGTCAACGCACCGCTTTTTTATGACGATAACGCGACGATGACTAGCTAAAAATAGCTCTGAGGTGACTAAAACATGACGAGACGTTTTCAAGTTTTCGTTGACGAGACGGAACGAAAATGATAAGTCTGACGTTCACAATGCATGTAACTTATGCCTGTTTTGCGTGAAATCGGTCTGTATTGAGCTAAAAATAAGTATCAGCAATGCTGCCGTTTCCTATCGCGTGCGCCCAGCACCGGCCGCCGCGCGCGCACCAGATTCCACACAACAACAACACAGGGTTTAAATGGTAGTTTTTGTACCAAGTCAAGTCAATAGAGTCGGACAAAAACTAGGATAAAACCTGTTGGAAAGCATATTTTTCAGCGATGTTTGTGTGAGTATATCAGTGAACATCCCTGACCACTCGGTGAGTTTGACGTCTTTGTAAATGAATGTTTAATGCGTTTTATGAATGATTGTGTGGGTGCTAACACACAAACCTAAAATTCTCGGGACAACAGCATTTGTCCAAATTTCAATCTTAACCGTTCTTTAAGTGTAAGGGTTTAAAAACAGGATAAAACAGGGCTTTAAAGGTGCCATATGTAATAATTGAGGTAACAATATACGAAAAATGAGCTGCACGCATCAAAAGAATGAGAAGAAATAAGTGCAAAGATGTCATTAAAAAACTGACAAGTTATAGTGCTGCCGAGATATTAACCTGAATTAGCATGCTAAATTACTAGCCCCGGCCCGGCAGGTATCGTAATACCAGTTCCGGCCATGGGAGGCGGTATGCGGACGGGCAACGTTAGCACCAGCCAAACTGCAATAGACGAGTGAGTCGCGCTCGCGCCGGCTTGTGTGTACTTGAACCTGATGTCAGTCGTGTGGAAGCCCATTACTACATTTCAGTTCAGGGTAGAGTTCAAAAATGATTGGTCGACATTATGCATGAGGAATACATTTTGGTAAGTTGTAGCATACTGTATCTTTCACCAGTGTTCGTGTTCTTTTTCCAGCTAGTAGAGACGATCGGTTCACGTGCGCTAGGGATCTGTAGTGTAACATGTACAAGCGCCAAAACGGTATTTATTCTTTGAATTGCGTAATATAATTGACAGAATCTGAGAGCTTAACTAACCTGCTTGCTAAGTGTCAATTGCGTGTGTCTCACGGTGAATTCACGGCGCTAGCTTGATCAACATCAGCGAATGCTGTCTGTCAAATTAATTCACTAACAATAAAAGTTTAATATGAACAAAACGAATACCATAAACTTCAAATAATTGCCCAAGCTTTTATTTTCCCATACCGTCGAAATGCACCAGCTTGTTTTTGAGATCTATGAGGCGGTCTTCATCATTTAGTGTTGAGATTCATAGTGTTTAGTTTAGTTCACTCTAGTGTTTAGTTCATTGAGTCTCTGATCTCTAAAAATCTCCAAATGTTCCACGTGAAACTGCGGTCTTCCAACCTTTTACTATCATGTCAAAAGATTTGAATAACATGCGCGATGGTAGGAGCACAAGTCATTTTTTGGAGGTATACTGCCCCCATCTGTTATGGAATATGGAGTAGGATTTGATTTATTATGTTAGATGGCACCTTTAAGTGTAAAATACCGAACTAACCAAGACCAAATACAGTGTTTATTCTGGGATTGTCTTATTCATTTTTATGTTCAACACACTCCAAGTGTCATGTTTGTTTCATACTTTCTATCCAAGTATGCATTCTTTGGTCAATGCACCTCAGGATTAGATATTTTATTATTTTGTTTCAGAATGTTTGCAACTTTGCAGTTTGCACAAGTTAAAGATAGACTGGGTTATATACATAATGTTTGTGTTTACAAAAAATGTGCATCTTATTGATGCATACTACCAGTGTTGTAGTCGAGACCACCTCACTCGAGTCCGAGTCGACACCGAGACCAGAGAGAGTCGAGTCCGAGTCAAGACCGAGTCCATAGAGAGTCGAGTCCGAGACCAGAGACGGTCGAGTCCGAGTCGAGACCGAGACCAGTGAGGGTTGATTACCTAATTTACTTTTATTTACTTAGAGAAATCCTTTTTTTTTTTTTTTACTGAATTTACTTAGAGTTTAAAAAATATGATCAGTTAAGGGTAAAAAGGCCACATAGTAGGTGGTGTTAAAAGTAATTTTATTACAATTTATCATGCGCAGTTGCGCACTAGAAAATCACCAATCACTGGGCGTGTCAATCAATTTAAAGAAATATTTTATTAACATACATTAATAATCATGAAAAATATTTTTAATTGAACTCGAGTGGACTCGGGAATAATTCCGAGTCCTAAAAAAAAAAAATGTTTGAGTACGAGTCAATTCCGAGTCCAAATGGACACGAGTCCATGACAAGACCAAGACCATTAAAATATGGTCTCGAGACCGAGTCCGAGTCTCGAGTACTACAACTCTGCATACTACGTTATTCATTGCACTTTAGCAATTTTTTTAAATAAAGCCACAATTGCCAAAGTAAGAATGTTTTTATGCTTGGCTTTTTTTGGAGTAAAACAGTGATTTCACTGTTACCACTTTATCTGTGTACAATGTTCTAGTAGCTCAACGTTTTTGCTGTTTAAACTTTAAACCATTCCTTCATTCCTTTATTACTGTGATAATCGGTGAAAATAGCTTTTAATATTCAGGGGTAAAACTATAACTTGAAATATGGGGATAAAAGGTTTCTGCCCAATGTGACAATGAAGTACAGCTTGGCAATGGCAGCACTGCACCTCCATCAATGAGAAAGTCTAGTTTATTATACAAAGGCGGTTAGCTTGTTTTATGAATTGCAACACTTGCTAAATCTGTCAAACCTAAGCCCATTTCCACTACTTTTTAAACTAAATTAATTTGTTAAAGACTACTTTTTTTTTTACTAAAATTGTTAAACTTGACTAAAACCTTTTGGTGTTTGTCGACTAAAACCTTTTGTGTTTTCGTCGACTAAAACTTGATTAAAACTATTAAGTTTATAAGTGACTAAAATGTGACTAAAACTTAAAAGCATTTTCGTCCAAAAGACTAAGACTAAGACTAAGACTAAAACTAAAAAGGCTGCAAAAAACAACACTGAGTGAAACCAGGAGCATTACTTCTGGCTTACCTTTGCTTGTTTTCCCTCCATCACAGCCACGCAGGAGTTTGTGGTTCCCAGATCAATACCGATAACAGCGCCTCGGATCGCCTCCGAACTGAAAAACCACCCGGCAGCTCAGACACGCGTTCATGGACCTTCATCATCTATCATAGACCAGCTAATATCATACTCACGCATACTGACGTCTGGCTGAAGACTGGAGAGTTTGTTGAGTCAATCCATTCCAACAAGCCTGACAAAAATGAGACACAAAAATGGAAGTTTCAAGAAAATATCAAAACTATAACACAAAATAGAGAGGAAATCACTGTATGAGATGTTGTACAGAGTGCAGTTAGTGCCACAGGATTACTCCATTGCACAGGTCTGACCATGTGGTCATGTTGAAGAGAATCACGTGGATTACAGTTCTTTCACATAATGCCAATATTACTTTAAACAGTCAGTCAGTAAATGTTATAAATGAACAACAGCCAGATGAAGGAAAGCTCATTTCATAACCCGAGGTGGGATGCTTCAGGGACACTTCATGAAGGTCATTCAAACACACTCTTCCTCAACTCCACACACACCAAATAAATGACCTCCACTGCTGTTTACACACTTTTAACTGTCCAGATGATTTAACGGATAATAAATCATCATGTCTCTATAACAAATCACTTGCATAACGCTGGAACGTGGTTAAATCACATTAACATTTGGGTTTTTGCTTTGTTTTCTTAATACAATGATTGGTTTAAAGCTTGTATCCCACTGGTTTGTGTCTTTAACAGATTTTATATGATAAGAATGGCTTAACACATGATTACTAACGTTAATCACTTCAGGCAAATGTCAACGGATCCTGTTACCAAACCATCATCACTGCACACTTCATCTAACGTTAACGTTACACATCAAAATCACGTCGGCTCGATATAAAGAGACTATCATTCAATTATTCTGACTGACAGCTCACTTTAAGGGCACTCAGTAGTAGTGAAGAAGTCACTCACCTTCTTGATGAGACCAGACACACTGCTGGAGGTTTTCTGAGAGCATGACATGTTTCTCGCTGCTGTTCTGGCCGCAGACAACATCTTTAAGTACTTAATAGCTAATATAAATGAACGTTAAGTAACGGGTCTTTGCAAAGCCACTGAATGTCAAATAAATGAGCTCTGGTGGGTCACTCTCAGGCCCTGTGCTCAGGTAACGCTTGTGATGAAGTCTCACTGACGTTCTTCTAGAATTATCCAACACCACATGGCGATCAGAAGGACCTCATAGAAGCCCACGGAGCGCCTGACCAGAATACGACATTCTGCTTTAAACTGAAATTGCAATGTTTATTAATGTAATTATCCAGTGTGTGTTATATGCTGTTGTTATCCGAAATTATATAAATCTGATCCAAAAATTTGATTGAATAACTATAAAATGGTGAAACACACAAGGCACATATGTGGACATCAAAAGCTGCAATCCTGAAGGTCAAACCAGAAACCACAATCTTTCGTAGTCATTACATCATGTAACATTTTCATTACTTCTATTTCATTATTGTTATTTTATTATAATTGCATTCTAGCATGCCTCTCAATGCATCTGACAAACATTTAGGATTCTTTATTTAAAAAAAAGAAAAGAAAATATCTGTTTTATTATAAATTGTATTCTTTTCTTAAGTACATTTGGGCTCTTCATGTACAGTTTTAACATATTATCCCTTTCTTATTTTTTATTATTATAATTTTTATGTGATTTTTTTTGTGGTTATTTATGGTTATACCACCTTATGCTAGTGTTATTGTTCTCTGTGATAAAACAATTATTATTAGTTTTTTTTACTGCTAATTTGCTTATATGCTTAGTTTGTATAATTATGTACTGAAAATACCATTGTCATTATTATATTGGACAAGTTTCACATTCATTGGAGCAAATTTATGAACCAAGCCCTTATTTTCAGTTATATACAGTATATATATATATATATATATATATATATATATATGGAAATTATATAGATACTGTTTTGAGGCCCTTTCTTTTTTTTTTTAAGATTTATTTTGATTGTTCCAGACTAAAAAGACTAAAAGACATCAGGTGTCAGCAGGTTTCCAAAGAAACCTTAGACAAAAAAAGTCTTGCTATCCTGCACAGTGTTTTGCTCTTGATTTGATCACGTGCATAGATGAATGGGAATGACACCGTGACATAATTCTATGAGGAAACAAAGTTTAGTCACCTTGCAAATCCATCTAGCCTGCATTTCCTTCTTAGTTTCTCTCCTCTATTTCTGTCCAAGCATCAGTCTTCATCACACTGGGTCCAGACTCCAGACAACATTCAGAGCTTGTCCTTCTACATCCAGCGAACTCAAAGATATCCACTCCCTCACACTTCATCTATATTAGAAGCTGAAATGAAATGCAGATTCAGTCTCTGACAGCAGGTGGCGCTCATGGCAAAGCAGAGGTGACCCCTGAACACAAGCATCTTTCTGCTTCTGTGCGACACTGTTGTTGTCCGTCACAATTCTCACGAAATACATGAAGTCCAGCAAGGTTCAGCAATTGTTGTGATATTTATAAACTGATGCTGTCACATGTCTGTTTGAGATAAGTGTTATTATAGCTCTCGGTATTGTGTAATGTTCTCCTTGAGACATCTTTTCTTTGAGACAAACTTCTCGCTGGAGAAAGATGTTGAATTGCTCTTCGCTCTGCTTTATATTCCTAGGGTATGAAGCATATAAACAGTGAAATTCCCATGACTGAATTTGAACACTTTTTAGTTTTTACTGTCACTGCGAGCAAACTGTTTCAGTCAGAAATACACGTAGCTGTTCCAAATAGCTGCTGATGCAGTTTAAAGGTCAGGTTCAAGTGCCATGATGTCAAATAACAATGGCTGTTTGTTTTTAATAGGCTACTATTTTTTATTTAACTGCTGTGAAAACATTTAATGTCACTAATCAACACAATGTTTTAGCTTTGTCTCTGTGCTCTAAGTGAAAGATTATCAATAGTAACCCCTCTCTCTCTCTGTGTGTGTGTATTTTTTTGGCAAACCCTATGTGAGCCATTCCACCGAAAGGGTGACATTTCTGTCCCCAGGACATTATATGTATAAAATTGCATGAAAATGAACTCTAAAATACATTTTATTATTAAGCAAAATGTCATGCACATTTAGCTAACTACAAATTGAAAACATATAATTAAAAACATTAACAAAAACGACACAGAACACTAAAAAATAGCATTTTCTGCATGTCCCAACTCTCAATCTCTAAACTTTACCATGAAATATTATGATTAAAATCCTTCAGAAATCTGATTTTTCTTGCATTGTTGTGTGACTTTATATCCAAACTGCTATAAAATGAAAAAAGAAAAAAACATTTGATCTAATATTTTAGATAAAATAGACATTTTAGTCATGTCCCCAGGTTTTCACTCAGTCCTGTTACACTATTACATTCCCCCACTGAATAACATAGAATATTCCACAAGACACATTTTCAACAGTAAGTTTCATCATCTGGATCTTCTAAAGGCAATGGGCCGACTATAAGTCACTCCTCTCATTTTCATTTCTGTATATTTGATGAAATTGTAACTATGAATGAGAAGGTCAATCTCAACATACATTCCTGTTACCTAAATGTTTTCTTAGATTTAATTGTTTTATTTTAAAAATATTAACTTTTGGTAAGGCACTAGAAATGGCTCAGTGTCCTCACGCTATTAGCATCACTGCTATGTGGCCATATGCCATATATTTGATAACTTTTTGCTTAAAAACTCAATCCTGTTACCTTCAGTCCTGTTACTATTTGTTTCTTTTTCTAAAAAAAATAAAATTAAACCACTATTTTTATCATTTTTGTTTTGCCCATAATTTATACAATTATTTAATGAATTAATTCTAAAAAAAATTATAAGCTTGAGGCTTCGGCCATCTTTGAAATGAAAAAATGCCTTTGTGTTTTTTATATCAAAATACACCTTGCTTTAATAGTGATTTTATTGGCAAAAATATCAATTTTTTTGAATATATAACCAACAATTTATTTAAAATAAACACTTTCTTGTGGGGAAAACAAAGGAATTAATTGACATGCTTCTAAACTTGCTTTTTAAATGACACATGGTTTTTGGTATCAGGATTGAGAAAACATTCGTCCATATTCTGCTTAAACCTTGTAAAATAATAAATAAAGTTGCCCGAGATTGACCAATACAAATTTAGAATAGTTAAATATGTGTAGTATTAGATTCAATGTTAAAAAAGATCAAAAATAAAGTTTATTTTTGAAGAGTTACAACAAGCAAATGTCACCCATTCGGTGGAATGGCCCATGTAATGGGGACCAAACGTCCACGCAATGATAATAATACCAGTCATTTTTTACCTTGCGGGGACATTTTCTGGTCCCTATAGGAAAACCATATAAATCATATTAAATTATTTATTTTATTTTATTTTAATTTATTTGCAAATGTACAAATGCAAAGTTTTCTGTGGTTTTGGTTTAGGGGATAGAATATACAGTTTGTAGAGTATAAAAATAATTACAGTATGTCTATGTTCCCATAAGGAATGCAGTTTATAAATCCTACTAAAGAATTGTGGCAAGCAGTAAGCAGTGTGGGACCAAGAGCCGTGGGAACCTGAAACATACATGTAATTTACTGTAAACATTAATGAGACGCTATACTTAAAAGCAAAAATCCAAAGCTCTATAAAAAACGATGCAACACTCCAGAGCCGATCCTCCCTATACTCACGCAAGTTGCGTAGGGCAGTGTTGTGTACTCGAGACTCTGACCATATTTTGATGGACTCGGCCTTGTCATGGACTCGTGTGCATTTTGACTCGGAATTGACGTGTACTCGAACATTATAGGACTTATTCCCGAGTCCACTCCAGTCCCATTCAAAATACTGTATGTTAATATTTCTTTAAATTGTTTGATTGAAACGTCCAATGATTGCTGACTTTCTTGTGCGCAACTGCGCATGACTTGCAGTAATGTTATGTGAAAGTAATAATTGTAATAATAATTGTAATAAAATTACCTTTACACCACTATGTGGCCTTTTTATCATTACATGATTCCATGGTATATTTGGTTTACTGTTGTGTATGGTGCCAATTTTATTGTTACCACCAAATATTTTACATATTCTTGAAGATATCTTTAAGTCTGGTTTCAGGCCCAACCTTAGTTTATCCAACCTCTCTGGTCTCGTCTCGGACTCGACTGTCTTTGGTCTCGGTCTCGACTCGGACTCAACTCTCTTTGGTCTCGGTCTCGACTCAGACTCGACTCTCTTTGGTCTCAGACTCGACTCAGACTCGACTGTCTTTGGTCTCGGTCTCGACTCGGACTCGACTCTCTTTGGTCTCAGTCTCGACTCAGACTCGACTGTCTTTGGTCTCGGTCTCGTCTCGGACTCGACTCTCTTTGGTCTCGGTCTCGACTCAGACTCGACTGTCTTTGGTCTCGGTCTCGACTCGGACTCAACTCTCTTTGGTCTCGGTCTCGACTCAGACTCGACTGTCTTTGGTCTCGGTCTCGACTCGGACTCGACTCTCTTTGGTCTCGGTCTCGTCTCGGACTCGACTCTCTTTGGTCTCGGTCTCGACTCAGACTCGACTGTCTTTGGTCTCGGTCTCGTCTCGGACTCGACTCTCTTTGGTCTCGGTCTCGACTCAGACTCGACTGTCTTTGGTCTCGGTCTCATCTCTGACTCGACTCTCTTTGGTCTCAGTCTCGACTCAGACTCGACTGTCTTTGGTCTCGGTCTCGACTCGGACTCGACTCTTTGGTCTCAGTCTCGACTCGGACTCAACTCTCTTTGGTCTCGGTCTCGACTCAGACTCGACTCTCTTTGGTCTCAGTCTCGACTCAGACTCGACTGTCTTTGGTCTCGGTCTCGACTCGGACTCGACTCTTTGGTCTCAGTCTCGACTCAGACTCGACTGTCTTTGGTCTCGGTCTCGACTCAGACTCGACTGTCTTTGGTCTCGGTCTCGACTTGGACTCGACTCTCTTTGGTTTCGGTCTCGACTCAGACTTGACTGTCTTTGGTCTCGGCCTCGACTCGGACTCGACTCTCTTTGGTCTCGGTCTCGACTCGGACTCGACTCTCATTGGTCTCGGTCTCGACTCGACTCGACTGTCTTTGGTCTCGGTCTCGACTCAGACTCGACTCGACTCTCTTTGGTCTCGGTCTCGACTCAGACTCGACTCTCGTTGGTCTCGGTCTCAACTCGGACTCGACTGTCTTTGGTCTC